TCTCTCTCTCTCTCTCTCTCTCTCTCTCTCTCATAGTCTGCTGATCTGACGAGAGGGTGAGAAGGAGATGGTGGACTGAGAAGAGGAAGAAGAACTCTCTCTCTCATGTGCCAGGTACTAACCTGTGAAGATGGCTCTGTGCTGCAGGTACCTCGAAGACGAAGCTGGAGCAATGGCGCTGCAGGTAAGTCTCCCTGGCCTCCGCCCAATCTCTCTCTCTCTAGTACTACTGTAGCTCCTATGGCGCCCAGCGCTGAAGACTACTGCTAACACTGCCACTACTACTGCAGCGCTCCTCCAGAGTGCTGCTGCCGAATCCTGAAGACTACCTCCTGCCTCCTGAACTGCACGTGAAGTGCCTGGGAAGTACCTAGGAACTACCTGCCTGCCTGCAGGGCGGGCCAGTCCTATATAGTGCTGGCCCATCCAGGAGGCTGCTCTTGCCAATGCCGAAACGTGCCAGACCCTGGCGTTGAAGCTCAACCAGGGGTTGTCTTGAAAACAGGCCCGAAATGGCCTGTGCTAAAACCCTGGTTTGTTGCCTGAGTTTCAGGTCAGGTCGAACTGATGAGGGCCCGGAAATGGCCCTCAGTTTCAGGCTGAAAACCCTCAGGGCTGGAAAGGCCCTGATTTAGCCTGAAACGACACAGGGCCTGTAGGCCCTTGTTTTCAGGCTTTCAGGCTGAAACGACACAGGGCCTGTAGGCCCTTGTTTTCAGGCTTTTGGCCTGAAAACGTCACGGGCCTGGAAATGGCCCGTGCAGCCTGTTGCAGGCGCAGCATGTAACAGAGGTTCTCCAGTTCCTGGTGCTGTTTCTCTAACTCGGACTGCAGGTGGTTACAAGTATGAACCAACCGGGTCACGAGTTTGGAGAGAAACTCCTTGTGCTGCTCTTCCGTTATCGTGTCGTCGTGGCTCTCGGATGGTTCAAAATGCTAGAACTTGAGCCTGTCGACGCTGGCGGCTTCGTGCCGCTGCAGCAGATCTAGGGCCTGCCTGCGGGGGGCCTGGGCATCTGCGTCAGCTGCGGCCTGAAGTCGCTGCCTCCGCTTCAGCCTGTAGGTGGGCAGCCTCGGCTGCCGCCTGGCGCTGTTCCTCAGCCTCGATCTGTGCAAGCTGATCTTGGATCCGCTTCCGGAACTCGGCAATGGACTCGGTGGCCAGTTGGCCTGGCATGCCCAAAACTGAAACCGTCATGGTGGCAGGGCACTGCTGACGTGTCACTGCTACTGTCGTGGCACTGCTGATGTGGCACTGCTACTGACGTGGCACTGCTGTGGATGTGGCACTTACCAAACCGGGAACGCAGGCAAAGGACTGCGGGGGAGGGAACGCAGGAAGGTCACCAAACTGCACTTTCCATTCCCGGTCCTAATCAGCAGAACAAAATAAAAAAATAAAAGAAGAGGATCCCCCCTTTTCTTTTTTTTTCTTTTTTTCTTTTTTTTGAATATCTGTCGATTGGCTATTAATGGGGCATTACGGAGGAATGCTATGAGCGAGATCTAGGCAAGGTTTCGCAAAGTTTCGGTTTAAAAAAAAAAATGCGATCTTGAAATTTGTTTTTTTGCGCGAAATAGAATGGAGGTTCCACTTTCAGAGAAGGATACATCCAGTTTCCGAGAATATGACAACCTCCGCAGTTCACCTAATATGCCCAGAGTGAAACAAAAAAAACGAAATACTAATATCCGAAGTTTCGGAGATCTGTTGCAATTTTTTTTTTTGCAGAGATTTGACGAAGCCCTACTTGATTAACTAATATATCAATCAATCTGAAACGGTTTTCACCTCTTTGCAGTAGCAGATGCAGATCCCAGGGCTCGATCCCTAGACCTTGCCCTACCTGTGTACAGTACCTGAGTAGACCCCGAGAGTTAAACCCGTGACCTGTGTATTCGTAAAACAGTTGGTAGGCTGTCATAGGTC